ACCAACATTTAATACTTCATAGTCGTTTTAAAGCGACATAACTCCGCGCGGAGATATGTCGTTTGTAGTTCGGCGGATATATGTCGCGCGGACTTATGTCGCTATGCCATACCGAAGTATTATACTATTTTAGTCAGAATAAAAACAAACTTTTAATTCAAGTAAATTTATTTATTTGTGCAAGCTAATGTGCAGGTATCATTTATGTCAGTTAACAATCCAGTTATTTATAAAGTAAGAAAAGAATTTTGATTAATTTGCGAATTCCATGTGGCTTTGGGGTGCGTTGATTGCTCCTTTTCAGAGAAAAAAAATAGTCAAACTATTGAATGTGAGTTCGGATATGAACATTAAGAGTATTTTTATGGGAAAATGACTTTAAGCAGTGGGAACACTTGTATGGTCGCTCTCCAGTGTGAGTTCGGATGTGTGTTTTAAGATGACCTTTTTGGGAAAATGATTTTGAGCAGTGGGAACACTTGTACAGTCGCTCTGCAGTGTGAGTTCGTATGTGTGCTTTAAGAGTATTTTTATGGGTAAACGACTTCGAGCAGTGGGATCACTTGTATGCTCGCTCTTCAGTATGACTACGGATATGTACATTAAGAGTACCTCTCTGGGAAAATGACTTTGAGCAGTGGGAACACTTGAATGGTCGCTCTCCAGTGTGATTTCGGTTATGTGCAGTAAAACTACTTTTCTGGGAAAATGACTTTGAGCAGTGGGAACACTTGTATGGTCGCTCTCCAGTGTGATTTCGGTTATGTGCAGTCAAAGTACTTCTCTGGGAAAATGACTTTGAGCAGTGGGAACACTTATGCGGCCCCTCACCCGTGTGAGTTCGGATGTGTCTCTGCAGATTAAGTTGCCCGGGAAACGACTTTGAGCAGTGAGAACACTTGTATGTTTTTTCTACAATACAATTCCTGATGTGTGTATTGAGATTACTTCTCTGGGAAAACGTCTTTGAGCAGTGGGAACACTTGTACAGTCGCTCTGCAGTGTGAGTTCGCATATGTACATTAAAATAGCTTTTATGGGAAAACGACTTTGAACAGTGAGAACACTTGTATGGTCGCTCTTTAGTGTGACTACGGATATGTACATTAAGAGTACCTCTCTGGGAAAATGACTTTGAGCAGTGGGAACACTTGAATGGTCGCTCTCCAGTGTGATTTCGGTTATGTGCAGTCAAAGTACTTCTCTGGGAAAATGACTTTGAGCAGTGGGAACACTTGTATGGTCGCTCTCCAGTGTGAGTTCGGATGTGTTCGTTGAGAGTACTTTTATGGGTAAACGACTTTGAGCAGTGGGAACACTTAAATGGTCGCTCATCAGTGTGACTTCGGTTATGTGCAGTCAAATTACCTTTCTGGGAAAATGACTTTGAGCAATGGGAACACTTGTATGGTCGCTCTCCAGTGTGAATTCGGATGTGCCTTTGCAGATAAATTGGCGCGGAAAATGACTTTGAGCAGTGGGAACACTTATGCGGTTTCTCTCCAACGTGTGCATTAAGAATACTTTTATGGGAAGACGGCTTAAGGAATTTATGCCTTTTCTTTCTCTCGCTGAAGCCAACACCGTGATTTACGTTGACTGGTAGATTTTTAGTATTTTTCATCTGGAGGTAGATCTGGTGGCTCGTCTCTATGGTTTGGCGTATCTCGAAAGCGGCTCGAGCACAGTGCAGGCAAGAGTCGCAGATGTTTTCGGGATAGCAATCTTCTTCAGAAATCTCGTAGGGAGTGCATTGAGTGATCATATCGGCGATGGAGATCCCTAGTCCTGGAGCGTTGTCGAATATGTTGATCATAGCAGGTGATGCTCTCAGGCAAGCGCGACAGATTTCACTAAAATTGAATGCAAAAGTGTGTGTTTTACAAGAATATAGACACTGGTATATTTTGATTAACTTACACTTCCATGATTTGAATAGTGAGATTTTTTTTACTTGTATTGAAAAATTATACGTGGATATTGTCGAGAGAGGCTGTAAATAAAACGAGCGTCTGACGTTGTTGAGTTGATATTTCAAACTAAATTTACTTCTTAAAATCCTAGCTTAGGTATGTAACATGAAAATGGAAATTCCTTATTTCTAGACCCACGGATCGGTATATCTTCAAGCGTTCTAGGTACCTAGCTGAGTTAGGTATGCACACATTTGCTAGAGTGCAGGACATCTGCAACCCAAACGCAATAATTTGGTGTTGTTTTATTGCTTCATATTTGTGTGACCACTCGCAGAAGCTGATATAATCCACCAAGCGTTCTAGGTACCTAGTTGAGTTAGGTATGCGCACATTTGCTAGAGTGCAGGACATCTGCATCCCAAACGCAACAATTTGGTGTTGTTTTATTGCTTCATATTTGTGTGCAAGCTAGAGTCGCAGATGTTTTCGGGATAGCAATCTCCTTTAGAAAGTAATCCCTTCGTAGGGAGTGCATTGAGTGATCATATCGGCGATGGAGATCCCTAGTCATGGAGCGTTGTCGAATATGTTGATCATTACAGGTGACGTTCCCAGGCAAGCGCGACAGATTTGGCTAAAATTGAATGCAAAAAGTAGGTTTTCACAAAGAATTTGGACACTGCACATAGGGCCAGCGAACCGATATATCGACGAAAATTCAAATTTTTCATAGAAAGTAAACCTATTTTAATAATAAAATTTGAAAAGTATATACTTTGACTAAAATGAATCAAAAGATTTTAATTGTTTTGATGCATCCCGGAAATTTTGGCAGCCCTTCAAAGTCAACTCTTTGATTGCGTGCGTACGAAACTCAAAAACGCGAGAAAGATTTTGTTTACTTGCGAGCGCGACAAAATTGTTGTGCTTTATAGGGTCTTCCCACACACCGTCAAAGCGCATCTGGCATCCGTTGAACAAACGGTCCATAAGGTTTTGCCGTTCCGAATTTTCTCAATTGGCCCTGCATCAAAGCGCATCTAAATGTAACGACCGTTTGTTTGGCGATAGTTAGGCGATAGTTTTTCGGTGCAACTCTTAAAATTTGACCAACACTACGAAAGTGTATACACACTTGGCGAGAAACAAATGAGATTTGGAATTTAAAATGTGGCGCCAAAGCTACAAGCATGCCCAAAATAGTTGTTGGCGTTTTTTCTGTATATTCTTGCCCCAATATGTCCCCAATCGTTACTATTTAATATAAACCGCCTACTTCTACCTTATTTTAAAGATTTTGAATGCCTATACCACCTATAGACACTCTTCGGGGAATTTGCTCTTTGTTAGAGAAAAATCATTAGAAAAACTAAAATTCCTTGTCATTTAATTCATTTAAATTTATTGCGGATAAATTCTGACGCAATCTGTGCATTTTGCTGTTGTACAACAGCCAATATAGTTGGTAAATGCTCCATTTCAAATTTGCAACTGCCAATTCGACAGCCTTTGTTTACGTTTTCATGAGCCACAGCTGATCGATCAGCTGTTCGGATGCTAAATGCGCTTTAATGTTATGTGGGAACACGAGTTTCACATTTGTGAAAAATCCCAAACGTTCCTCACAAATGCGCTGTGTGGGAAGACAGTATAAATTTAAATGAATTAAATGACAAGGAATTTTAGTTTTTCTAATGCTTTTTCTCTAACAAAGAGCAAATTCCCCGAAGAGTGTCTCTAGGTGGTATAGGCATCCAAAATATTTAAAATAAGGTAGAGGTAGGCGGTTTATATTAAATAGTAACAATTGGGGACATATTGGGGCAAGAATATACAGAAAAAACGCCAAGAACTATTTTGGGCATGCATGTAGCTTTGGCGCCACGTTTTAAATTCCATATCTCATTTGTTCCTCGCCAATTTGTTTACATTTTCGTGGTGAATGGTCAAATCAAGAAGAAGAATCAGAGTTGCACCGAAAAACTATCGCCTAACTATCGCCAAACAAACCGTGGTTAGATTTTAATGCTGAACTAACGCCGGGCCATTTGGGAAAATTCGGAACGGCAAAACCTTATGGAGCATTTGTTCAACGGATGCTAAAGGCGCTTTAATGCTGTGTGGGAAGACCTTATTAATGTTGTGTGGGAAGACCCTATTAGGGTGGTAAATGGAGTAAACATTTTCTGATCATTTAAAAATTAGCAGATATGCAAATTCGAAGAAGCTCATCATTTTTACATCAAACGAAAGGTATTTCGTTTATTTTTATTTTTTATTTTACTCATGACTCTTTATTTTCGATTCCTGGAATTGACCAAATTGCGGTGTAGTCATTGCAAATGCAGCATAACTGCTCAGGAAAAAATGACATCACTGCAGTGCACTGTGCACTGGTAGCACGACAGCAAAAATGACAGTGGGATAACGCTTTAACATTTCGTTTCATTCCTTTCTGTTTCTAAAAAACGAGATTACTATTTTCTTAGAATGTATTAACCAACACTGTAGATTTGTTAACTTTTTTTTTAACAGAATTTCGCGAATGAAATGGTTACTAATGGTGTATTGGTTTATTATGGTGAAATAGTGTATTATATAGTTGACCGATCCAAACCGATGTAGAGGTTAGAGAAATAGAAAAATGTCCTTCGTTTTATCACAGCGTTGGGCTTGTATGGATACATTTACAAAGGTATTTTCTTATTGTGTTCTGCATTCATGTATTATATTCGTCGTACATATGTGCATACATATGTAAATATGTACATATCCATAAAGAGGAAAGGGAGAAGAGTTACTCTATGCTGCATTGCAGCCTCTGAAATATTTGTCCAAAGCTGAAGGCTAGAAACTTCAGCTCCCAAGTGCAGAAGCCTCTGCGACTTATAACTATCTGCGCGAGTGCTAACGTGCACAGGTGCAGCTCTGGTTGGAATTTCATTATCTTGAAAAGATTCATCGCATCAGGAGAGCAGTTTGATCGATTCGCAAAGACGGCCGGTAGCTAAAGATCGTTACCCTGCTCAGTGATATGATTTCCCCAGGCCCGCTACATGTTATACTACGGTATCTCACAGTTAAAGAGAGGACGCTACCACATACTGCAACTTGAATGATGTACGGCTGGTGCAGATGCGCATCGGACGGTAGAATCTACCCTCCTACGAGTACAAGGTGACCACAAGGTGAGGAACATTTTTATATTTCTTATTGCCGACAACAACAAAGATAGGTATTTTTGTATACATAAACATACATACATTTATCCTACGCTAGGAAATATATTTTATTTTGGCTTAAATATTTAGATATAAATATTAAGATATAAAACCGGAAGTAATTTAATACATGCAACAGCAGATTCGCCAAGAGATGTGCAATTTTCCTAAATTTCATGTCCATAGATAGCTGCTGTATCCTGCATAAAAATCGAAAATGCAAAAATAGCTTATTTGCCCAAGAGCCGTTAAAATGTACAAATGGTTTCGTCTTTGGCTGGATAAGAGTGGGCAATGAAATGAGGTGGGGACAAGTAGGTCTCGGCCAAGTCAAACATGGCCATTTGTTGCAGGTTCAATTTCAGTAGATTGCATACGAAAAGCTGCACAAGGATGAAGAAGTTGTTGTTCATATTTGGACGTGCAGTCGAGCGAAAAAGGAACACAGACCTTCCTTCCCAACCATTCTAGATGGTCGCTCTTTCTTTAGACAAACTTATGTAGAGCTCACATACAAAAATTATAAGGATATGTGCTACGTGTAGTCAATAAATAAAACAGTTGTGCATTTCTCCCTCCAAAATAGGAGAAAGCTCCGGACAGGGGCGGATTCGGCAACGAGACTTATACCAGGATATTATAATTTTCGTAAGAAGTTTCCAACGCAGAGAAGGAGACGGTTCAGACCCTATAAAGTACATTTTTAATTAGCATCAACCGTCGAGTCGATCTAGCCATGTCCGTCTGTCAGTCTTTCCGTTTCTACGCTATCGGCCGACTTCATATATCATATATGTATGTAGGTGCCATTGGAAAATTTATTTTAAAAAATTAGAACTATCCTGTTTTTCAACATATTTTCATCTTTGAAATATGGTAACTTTCTATTATTTCAGAATTTCGACTTTATCATAGAGATTTCATAAGAACTATCAGCAGATGTATAGAAAAATAAAATGCTGTGAATGTAAAACCGTAACTGTAAACTTGAAAACGTATATAATTATGATCTATTTTATTTCTTTTGGGACCCTAATTTATACTAACTCATAAAACTAATGGTTTTGGTACATATGTACATCACCAACCAAGTCCGGCCCTGTTAAAGGCACTCGTTATGGCACAGGAACAGTCCGGGAGCAAACACGTTCGATTTAATACAAATGCGCATGAGTGTGGGAAGGGATCAACGGTGCTGGGGTACACCGGCACTGGGTGGGATTTATGTCGAGCGACGTTTTAAGTCTTCGTCGCCAGCAACAGCTGCTTCACAGACTTAGTCCTATCTGCTGCCTGTTTTTTAATACGGGCACTTCTGCTTATGCAGCTGCAACATATGCGCTTACAAATGCGCTGCAATAAAGTCATTGCGTTAGCTTGACCAGCATTTTTTCAATGACTTTACTTATCAAGTTAAACTTACGTAACGAAAGTTATGGATCGAAGCAGTCATGCATTTGATATCAGAATCTTAATCAATGTGAAATTAATTTAAAGAAAAGGAGCAGGTAATTTGGTAAATATGAGTTAAGAGTTAAGAAACGAACAACTGCTTTTCGACAGATATTCGAGTTTGGTTGACTGTGGCGTTTATACAGTTCTCTATGTTTGGTCCGTTAAATGAAAAAAAAAAGAATAAACTAATCTCAATATGTAAAACAATATAAATATAACAAAACCAATTGGCCATAAAATGGTCAGAATATTAGCAAAATAAAAGCAAGGTCTACATAAAAAAAACGTGTTACACTTTTTCGAATTTTTTTATATAAATCTCTTGTCTCCGTCTATAGTTGTTTTCTCGAATTCAAGCAATTCAAAACAAACCAAGGAATTTGCACGGGACAAATACAGAAGTCACTTTCGCGACTGATTTCAACGAAATGCCAGGAATAATTACACAAATTTTAAATTGTCATACGATAATGTTTTTTGTGCTTTTAATCTCAATCAGTGTTGGTCAATTGGAACACTTCTTAATGTGACTATATTGGAAACAAAGATTTTAGAGAATTTTTTCTGTTTTGGCTGCGGTTGAAATTTTTATAGAAATGACCATATGTTTGTCAAGTCGAGCATAAAAATTCTACATACATATGTACATATATATTATATATTTTATATGTCTGAAATATATATTATATATTTTATATGTCTGAATATATATTATATATTTTATATGTCTAAATCATGGTTCGCCCCAGACTTAAATAATTCATTAATTGATTATGTTGCTTACTAGGTGCAGGAAGTGCTGCTCAGCACAAGTTAAAATGCAAATTTTTTCTTACACATCAAGTTGACAGTTCGATGGAATATATTTTCCTTGAGCTGACAAACATGAGGGACAATAATAACTCCTTGTTGGTTGAATCTATAGACCACATAAAAATACTTACTACTCAAACTTGACCTCTCGTTAAGGTTATGAATATAAAAATACCCGAGGACTTGAATTGCAATATTTTGATAGAACGCCAAAAGAAATGTCATTGATCTATTTACATCTTGTAACTTCTGGCACACCCACACATTTTACAACAACCTGAATACACTTCGGAAAACTTCTATATCTCAAAGTTTAAAGGTGCAATATCCCCTATAGAAAAATGGAGTGCATTCAGGAGCCTGGGAATAGGCAAAGCAGTACCTGAAAAATGTAGGGTATATTGACGGATTTGACCATAACCGACAGTTTTCCGTCATAAACGTACCTGCAGTTGACTTCAATGAGAATTTTGACTAAAAATATTGTTAAGTGTTTGATTTTGTAACATATGTGTAAATCAGTGTGATGTCCTAAGGCTATTTGACAAAATTAAATAAAATGCCATTGGTTTGAATGATAAGAGCCCAAAACTTGTTAAAATATTATTGTCCCAAAATCATGGGACATATTGACTAACTAATGGACAACATTTAAGTTGCACAACCACTTTAATCAAAGTTGCTAAAGATGTGTAAACATTCTGACTGGTTTTCTCGGGTACTAATATAAGATACATGTTCAGTGCGAGTAAAAAATATTGTGAACGAACTAAATGTCACGAGCAACATAAACAGCTATGATTTTGCTTTCTTAATAATAAATTAAAATAATTCAATCCAATTCCTTTTGGATCAGAGGATAATATAAATAAATATATACATATTTATACATAGCATATATCAATTTGTTTTTAATAAAATTAAAAAAAAAACACATTTTTTAAATCGTACCTATAGAAAAACGTATTTTGGATTTAAAATACTAGTCCTTAAAACACCAGATCGCTACTTTTGTATGTCCGAAAGGAGAAGTAGGTACTGTTGACCAAACTAAATAGATTTTCAGCAAAGTTATGCTCTTGAGCTGATTAGCTAAAAAAATACTAATTGCGATCATAGTAAGACAGGCTATGCGGCTAGCAGCCGAGCTATCCATCCATCTTTTTTTTTAAGCAAACTAAATTTTTAGATTTTGCTCTAAATGAAAGAAATAACTTTACCGCTATCAAGATGATTGTGAGAAGCTAAAAAATTAGTAAAAATTTAATGCCTTGGCTTAGAAATGTTTTATACAATTCAGCAGGGGATTTGGAGCCTTGAAGAAGGCGACTGTGGTCTCGCCCCAAGGCGACGGCAAGGGTTGCCCGGCCCTGGGAAGGCCCCGTACTAACACAGCTGGATTTACCTTTACCCCTCAGTTGCGAACCTGAAAGTCAGCGGTCACAAGTCGCGTAACACTCCTGACTTGAGAGACGCCTGTTTAAGACTTGATCTGGGGTCCGTCGACTACCATTTGTCTGCATCCCCGAACTCGATCGGGGACCTGTTTTCAGCCGCCCTCGCTTGGAGAGTATATTTGTACTACTGACGCACAGTAGCGCATTTTTTCACGTTGCGTTGCATCAATCATAACTTTTGAACTAAATAAAAATAATCGAATTATTTAAGCGGCATTTGATATGTAATTATTGTAAAATATATACGTTTCACAATGTGCAACGCTCACCAATTAGGGTATCAATTTGAAAATATCATTTTTTTCCTCTGAAAGCGAATTCTTTAAAACAAAAGTTGCGTCATGTTTTAGCTTTATTTTTGTTGATTTTATTAAATTATTTAAAAATATGTTGAGCACTGAAAAAAATTTTAGTTATAAATTATCTTTTTTTTTGTGGGCTATTTTGACTACATATTACTAAAAATGCATATATTTAGGGAATTTCTAAAAGGTTAAGTATTTCGGGACTATAATCATTTGATTCTATATCTTTCCGTGAAAAAACCAAAACCATGATCTTTGGATATATAGTTCTTGTGTAATGTTACCTGAAAGCCAACCATTTTACCATTTTTTTGTATTTGTAAAGTTTAACTTCGTCCAGTTTTTTTTTTTTTGACTAAAATTAAGGGGGTCTTCTCATTCAAACCCCGTTTTTTGGACCCTTTTTAAAAAAATTCTTATTTGAAAACGCAAACAATAATTGAAAACTTTTTTTATTTATTGTATTAAAAAATGTTCAAAGTAAATAAAAAAATTGTTTTTGCCTCGATACGAGGGTTGTTCTAAGAGTAATGAGACTTCAAACTTGGTTGTGGAAAAAAAGGTGCCGTCCTGGCGGCCACGATTCAGGGTCTCCAGAGCGTCCGAAATGAAAAAAAGGGGTATAATCAGACTAGATGTCATTTTCGGGTGACGGAACAGATTTAAAAAAAAAATTTTGGCGGCCATTCAAAAAAAAAATTTCGATTTCGGGCTTTTTTTGTAGTTTAGTGTAAAAAAAGTAGAAAAAAAAAAAATTAAAAAAAATCTGTTCCGTCACCCGAGAATGGTGACAATTCTGCGTCGATTCCACTTTGTTTCATGAAAATCGGTTCAGTTGAACTGGAGATATCATGGCCGCCAGTTCGAAAAACGTGGTTTCGAGATAAACGCGTTTGAAGTTTGAAAAAAGCTCATTTTGCGAAGACCTTGCTTCACA